CCAGCGGACTTTGGCATACTTCCTCTTTGAAAGCAGCCCACCCAAAAGAGCTTATCTTCATCCGAAATTTCGCCCCTTAAAATTTCACAAAAACTCGGCTTAGGAATGCGTTATCTGTTTGCCCATAAAGTTTTTCAACGATCGCCCCTTGTGAGTTCTCAGCTGACGTTTTTTTCGATCCCCTAAATCCGGGTTTTTGCTGTTTTGGGGCGTGAACGTCGAGAGGCTTACCAAATCGAGCTTCCATATAAATACAATGCAGTTTACAAAGACCTCCAAAGAGTTCAGTTGCAAATGCCGCAGTCGATAAGTAGTAGCCAAAGAATGGATATTGCACAATGGTGATCAGACTTGAAAGAAAATAGTTCGAAAAATAGTATGTTGAGTTACCGATCATCTGAAAAGCGTTTTGTGACTCGTTTGGTATCTTCAGAAGATCCAATTTAATCAGTCAAGACTGATAGATCAAAACAAACTTGTACAGACTCTGTATTGGCAAAAAGAAGGGAATTTAGATTATTATTTCTATATTTACTATATTTGTAGGTAACGAATTTACCCAATTGATCATTAAATGTTCTGAATCTAATCCAACCTGAACCATTAAACGTCTCTCCGCCATCGAGACTTTGGATTTATTCAGCTAAATCTCTCATCTCTTTGAGAAACACCATTTTAACTTACTTTTCGAAGCTTTAAAAAAGTGAAAAAGTCCATTGTGATCTTGAAATATGTCAGAGTTGGCGTCACATACATATTCACAATTGCACTATTTGTAAACGATGATACGCAGAAAAGAGAAATCGCTCCCGAATAGCAAATGAGAAACTGGAGGACGGTGTGTTTTGTTGTATACTTGAAGAGCTTTTTCATCTAAAGCTAACAAATCCAAGTAGTAAGGCAGATTGATATTAAGGTCTTGAAAATGAGGGACTCCCGAAAAGTCAGTCCTGGGAATGCAACAACAAGAGGGGTTTTCTCGTTTAAAAATTAACCATATTTCAGATTATGCTTGAAACAGCCAGTCCAACAAACAAACTGAAATTGTGGCTAGAACATTCAACGAGGAAATTTTTCTAGACTCAAACCGATGACTACGTTTTTTACCGGACACACAGTACAGGGTGGCTGAAAATTACGGGCGCGCAGCATCTGGCATAGTTTTAAACAATCTATAAAGCATTAATGCTCATTTTTTTGTGTTTTAATATTCTTTTTGTCATTGCTATTAATCCAGACCGTCCAGAAGATCGTAAAGCAATGAAAAGAGGGGATATGTTCAGTCCAAGCCCGAAAGAGGGCGAAAGAGGACCGTTAACACCCAAAAAATGCGTGGGATCGTCAAGAGAGGATCGAGCGAAAAGACGATCGTAGCTTGAACAAGATGGCAAAAATAGCTTCAAATTTCGCGTTTCTCGGTTCAATCAATAGTGAAAAATGAGCGGGGACTTCCGGAGTCATCGACTGTTAAACAGACAAGTGCTCACCGATCGGCCAAGCAAAACCGAAAAGGAGAAATGCAAGAAATTGGGAGCTTTTTCCAAGCTGCGGCGCATTGACGATGTTCTCTGGTCGGATGAGAAGATTTTCACCCTAGAAGTGGCTAAAAATACACAAAATCACGTCAACTGTTCAGTCCAGCTCTCAAGGGCACTCGCAAACGAAAAGCCGCTACAAAAGGTCTGTTTCCAAAAAGTTTGATGGTTTGGGGTGGAATCCGTGCTCGGGCAAGATGCTAATTATCTCCGCCGCGTAAAGAAGCGAATTGAAGCCTGTATCAAAGCGAGTGGAGGCCACTTCGAAAATTTCTTGTGATTAATAGACTATTAAATTTACTGTTGTTTTTGCAAGGTGCCAATACTTAAAACGCGTCTAAGTGGAGGGTTCTACATTTTTTAGATGTAGCGTAGTTTCAGCCATATTTTTAAAAAAACCAGTTCGATTCGATGCCGGGAAGTAGTTGAAATCGATCTTCAAAGTTGTGACCCAAACTGTGTCAAATCCCATACAAAAATTGAAGGATTTGACACATTTTGCGCCGCAACTTTGACGATCGGTCTCTACCTCTTTAAATGAAGCGTAGAGTCTCAGCTACATTTAAAATAAATATCCAATTAACTCCAGAATTTTTGGTGTGAGGTACAATAGCGTGACTTGCCTTTTCTGTATTCAATCTTTGATGACACTTTAACAATTTTTGTTCGCTTAAATGTGTTTAAAAAAACGAGCTGTTTATCGGTCCTTTTTTGTGAAAATTGATTGTAAATAGTGAGTATTTAGTTTGTTTAAAGATTAAATAGAAACTATAAAGGGGCTTTAAAGGAACTAAATACAAACTATAAAGGAGTTTTAATGGAGCTTTAATGGACCTAAATAAGAACTTTGAAGGAGCTTTAAAGGAACTGAAGAGTCTGAATCAATAGCCACAAAAACCTTCAAGTATTATACCCAAGAATTGGTTAATTGACTGCGAGTAAATGCGATTAACTTATGGAATAAATGTTAACTTTTTAAAAGACTCTTTTACCCATCATGGACAGGGTGCGGCATAAGTATGGTTACAAGGTTGTAACATCGATTTAAGAAACTGGTTGATTTTTTCCTGGCTGTAGCTAAACTGCAAGGAATTTTGGGTATAAAAAGGGTTTTGTTTTGTCTTGATGACCCTGTTGTGAACGTTTTCTACCATTTCTATCACAGTTTTAAAACTGCATTCCATAAATTCTTATGGCTAAGTTTCTTGAATTCCTTTGTTATAGATGTGATCTTCAACCAACCATGCGTTCTTTGAGATGAGCCTCACGTACCCCAATAGAAACCGACTTTTGACAGCCCTAAATTGATTGACGATTTTAAACTCGAGGGCTTGTTGAGCTTACGTATGATTAGATTTTGTGTATTCGTTCCCATTATTCGTGCTCGTGGAGCTAAACCCTTGAAACGAGTTGGCATTAGAACCATTGAGTTTTGGACGAATTTTCTACTTTCTAGAGTCTATTTTACTTTTTAGATGAAGAAACGAGTAAGATTAGCCCAAGCAAAGTCGACTCGGTGAATAGCGAAGGGAAACTCGAATGGGGAAAATTCGCGAATGAGTACGCGAGGACTTCTGTGATGAATCGTTCTCAAAGAATACACCGTTTGAGGACATTGTCACGTGTGAATGTGTGAAATGTGATCGACGATAGCATCAGTGAAAAGTGAGTCTTTCCCGTAGCAGATCATAGCAATAAAAAGTTTCATTTAATAACAAATTATCAATTTTACATGCCAAATCCTTTACCTCAAAAGTTCCTTACCTCAAAAAGAGGATCAAAAGACCATTAAAGGCTTAACTCTTAGAACCTCTTAGTTCAGGAAAATTTTCATCATCCTTATATACGGACCACGTATATTTAGTCCCTAAATATTTCTAGCTTTTTAGCTCTCTTTTTAGCTTTTTAGCGCAATATTCAAACCGTTCAAGCGTTTCCACCATCATCACCATCACCCGCCTCACGCACATCAACCGCCCCAATTTGTCCCACAAGCAGTCGCCTCCTAATTCCATGGCCACAATTGTTCGTTTAGCCGGCCTAATTGGAGCAAGTGCGGTCATTCTTGGTGAGTTATGAGCAGAGAAAAGAATGCATCAAGATCTAAGGATCAATTTAGCATCATTCATGTCAGGGTTGTTCCAAAACCAAAGCCAGGACCAGGTTCTGCTTTTGCTCCAGCCAGGCTGAGCCTGTCTTGAGCTTGGCCTGGTTCCCTAAGTTTACTCGGTTGGAATGTCCCTGGTCATGTATAGCCTTTGGTCCAAATGGGTCATTCTAGAATTCTAAAAATTACCACAAAAACTTCTCCCAGGAGCCACGGATCACACGTATTGCGAGATCAAGTGGACGAGCATCGGAAGAAAGCCTTGACACCGGGTCGCGCTATCATTTACTGCATTCGGTAAGTCGGAAGGCTAGTCTTTACAGCTTTTGCTTCAGCATTTTCAGTACTTACTACATACCCGCGTAGTACCGTACTTCCGTACTATATCTAGTGCCAGATGCGTATCCAAGGGAAGACCAAGGGATACAGGATCTGCCTAGTACCGTAATATCTTACGGGCAACGGCAGTTATCTACGTAGATAATCCGGCTTATCGCACTCAAATCACTGCCGCACACTGCGTAGGTATAAGATAATGCTGTGTCATCTACAGCTCTGGCTACCGTTTCCAAGCACCGTACACCAAGTTCCAGGTGGCTTTGCTTGGCGCTCGTCAGGCTGGTCACCCTCTACTTCGCTCTTCTCTTCTCGGCCGGCATCATTCTTTTCTGTGGCCCCTGCTATCATTACAGTATCACCGGCGAGGAGAAGCTGCGAAATTCACGCCAACCGGCGGTACTTTTGTTTATCCTCGGCTGGTTGTCGTTCATTTTGTAAAGTTTCTTGTAAGTTATGATTACTGTAGGCATGCCATAGGAATAGCCAGGTCAAGCCAAAAATTGAAACATTTGTCAATTCATTTTGTTATTTGTTCTGAATCTCTTCTCTACAAGTGCTTTAGAACACTTCTTATACAAGTGCTTGTATGTTACTTGCATAATATGGAAATTAGTAATGTAGATTCGTATGCTAATTTAGCTGCAACTCGAAACTTGTTAAGACTTTGATACCACTAGTGTACCAAACTTTCTTCATTCTTAATAAAGCAATTTCAAAACTATTTAGCTTCCATCGAAACGCAAACAGACAAACAAACAAGTGCAATAAAAGAGGTGAAAGATAACTCTATCTCTAACAAATATATTGTACATATATAATAAAACAGGGTTCGTGGTGGGGGAAAAACGAGCACAAACAACACATAGAAGCGACCCGAATGGAAATACAGAGGGAAAATGGGCCGATTCTTTGAAATTTTCACCCTATCTTGTTTCACTACATTAGCTAAGTATTCAGCCTACAAAACTAAGGATCTTTTGAATTCTTCAATCGAATCCAATCGAGATTCTTGTTGCTCACATCCTCATTGATCGATCGGAGTAAAGACGGCCTTGCCTAAAAAGAAGAATATTATGGCTCAGGGAGTTTTTCAACGGACCTTCGGGTTCCGCCTTGATGACAACGCTCTTCATCGTTTTGAGATTTTTTAATGTCAGAGTTGAGCTGCTCGACTTCGCCGATGTGTTGCGACTCCTAAACATTTGCAGCCAAAGTTAGTATGATACTTTGCAGAAGATAATTTGAATAAAAACATGTACAGGGTGCGGCAAAAGTTCTGACACTTTTTCAGGACGACTGTATGATGGTCCGCCAACATTTTCGAAGTCCGTTATGGTGTGGGCCGGCATCTGTGCCACAGGAAAGACACCTCTTGTGTTCATCGATCGAAATGTGAAAGTCAACGCTAAGATCTACCAGCAAAAGGTGTTAAAGGATGTCTTAGAGCCCTGGGCAGCGAATCATTTCGGACAAACTGGATTTACCTTTCAGCAGGACTGGGCGCCGGCCCATGGAGCCCGCTCGACTCTCGCTCTCTGCAATCAGCTGCTTTCCGGGCTACTGGGGTAGGACATTTGGCCGTCAAATAGCCCCGATTTAAATCCCTCTGGACTTCTCCGTTTGGTCGATCTTGGAAGACAAGATCTCGACAAGAGATTTCACTCCGTGGATTCTTTGAAAGCTGCTTTGAAGAGGGCCTGGGCTAAAATCACTGTTCAGCATCAGCAATGCGCGACCATCGTCGGCAACTTCCGCAAGCGATTGAAGAAGTGCATCGAGGCCAAGGGTGGAAATTTTGAGCATTTGTTATGATTTTTGTTAATTTTTTCTTCAATAAACAATTTGTTTCGTTTTTTGATTAATATTGCCTAAGCTTGTAACCTTTTTCTCCAAATCTTTCAAGATCTTTTAAGATCAATGATCATTTTACTTTTGAACCATAAACCTGCGAGTTTCCTTCAAGATTCAGTTTCGATTTTGTTCACATTTAAACTCGATTTTGGGTAACAGGGGACGTACTGAAAATTCACAAAATTTTGGAGGTGCTCGTCGTTGGGTCGATCATAACAGGTTGGTTTGTTGACTGACTGTGTGTACCATTCATAGCCATAAGCATAGCAAAAGAGAAGTCATTTCTTTATATGTACTGCTGCAAATCTATTTCTAAGCAAACTCTTTCATTCCTGGCTCATAAAATTAAAAATGTGGCTTTTGGCTCATAGACTAGTCCAGAGGCATAAAGGCCAGGCAATATTTGACCATTTACCAGCTTACATAGTAAGCCGGGAGATGCTGCCAGACAGACTTTCATAATCGGACTTTCGATCGAAACATTTTTCAACAAAATACTACAAAACTTGCAGAAAACCAGTCTGCTCTTGATATAACCCTAAAGTGCCAAAACTGTTGGTGGACTTATTTTGATCATTTCTTTATTGTAAAAACAATGCTTCAATTTCAATTCCAGCTCTCGATAATGTTGCTAAGTGATCAAGTTAAAGCTAATGCTCAACGTGCCATCAGCTACCAGTCAGACCCCCAACTCAGCCAGGACTCCTTGAGATCAGAGGGGATACGCTTCTGCAATTTCTTCTTCAGCTAGAGCTTGATCCCTTAACTTTGCTAGCAACGTAAACAGCGGCCTTCTGAACCCAACTCGTTTTAATCAGTTTGACTTTTAAAACTAAATCGATAAATAATTCCCACCAATCAGACTGTCAGCAAAGAACAGGCGTTGTTCGCGTACTTTGCTACAAATGTGGGCATTCGGTGTTTGCAACTATTGGATTGGTGAATTGAAAACTGCCGGCTATTGTCATCTGTGACAGTTTGAGCACTTTTTTCAAATGAAACCCATTTTGAGTCTCACACTTGTCTCAAACAAACCAAAATCCTACTACGAAAGAGGAATCCGCAAATTGCCTATAAAATGGGCAGAAGTCGTCAATAATAATGGAAATTATTTGGAATGGATTTATGGTTTTATGTTGAATGAATTTTAGTTCAAAGTCCGACAGTTTTCAATTCACCAACCCAATAGTTTTAAACTGTATGATGTATGTTTAAATTGGTTTGTTTGGTTGAATAGTAGACAAATTGTCAAAGAAAAAAACTTGAACATAGATTCAGAATTATGAACAGAATGTTTGTCAGAACAGAATGTTTTAGAACTCTTTATATGCCAAGTTCATTCGACATTTTTCCTCTTTCTTGTCAGATCTTTCTTAAATCCCATCGAATCTCGATAAATTAATGGTGTTGTGCGCTTGAAGTGGTATCTTTTCCCCAGAGAGAAGACAAGTGGTTAGAGTTAGAATTAGAGAACCATTAGAGAAGCCGAAACGGTGAAATTTCAAGAAAACCATTTAGAACAAGGACAAACTCTTTCTTGAAAACTCAAGTATTCCACTCTTCTGGAAATCCAGGTGTCCCTTACAGGGTATCCCATTAAAAAACTTTACATTTTGCAGTAGCTTTCATTTGTTTATTCTTTTTTGTACGATTTGATTTGTAACTTTCAGTTCAACTACAAAACAATGCAAGCCTGCTTTAAGCACGGCAAGTCGAATCTAACAGTACTCGTATGTGTGAGTGGTTTGTCTTACAAGGAAATGTCCCACCAGAATTGCTTCGTCACCAGTTACCCGGGGATCATACAACCAGAATCGCTGTAAATTATAAAGGGTGTTAATTCTTTTCGGATCAAAATTTGATACATATTCACATTTGAATGAACTGGTCTACAGGCAAGGCTGTTTATTCACATTCAGAGGCTTGCTTCAGGACGGCTCGGGTTCAACTAGTCCCAACGGTAGCAAGCCTTAAAAGTCTAAAGTCGCTAAACAGTCTAAAGTTTTAAGTTTAGTTTTTAGAAGATTTTAAATAGGTTTTGCATGATTTCAAACAAAATAGCTTAATTAACCAGTGCAAAAGCGTGAATTCGATAAAAATTGTGAGAAACTCAAGCATTATGGAGTGAAATGACATTGCTATGATAAAAGATGTAATGCTTTGACTATGGTGAAATAAATCTTAAACTAATTTAATGTTAAACTTGCTTTGAATCGGCTTTTCAACCTAGTGACCAGCCTCGATTTCGCTCAAACTGTCCACAACGCAAAAGTCATTCAAACACTTCAAATAATCTCTTTATGTCCGAAATCAGGAATGCAAATTCGCAAATTATCCACAAACAATTTTACATCTAAACCATCTGCAAACCAATCGAATCCGTTTGAGACACTTTCGAATGTTGTTCAGACTCAACCAGCGAATTTGAGCCCTTGAAGCATTGAACGGCTTCTTTTCGATTGCACAACGGGCATGAGCTCTAAAAAAGATTAAATTTGAATTAGCATTGAAATTGAAAGCTTTTTTGACAGTTTCAAGATTTGATTCTATGTAAACTAGTTGATTGGCTGAAATGATTACCCAATGGTCTAAGCCCGATGCAACTGGTCTTAAACCGATTTTAGAGTTAATTAAATCTGGTTTTATTACCGCTCTCTGATAGATCGGTCTGAAGCTCAAATCCACCTGAAAGCTTTTCAAAAAGTCTCGGAATTCTCCTTCAAATCGCTTGGCTTCCCTTTCATCTTTTCATTCTCATTAGCCGATTCTTCGGCAACTTCGGCTAACTTTAAACCGATTTTAGAGTTAATTAAATCTGGTTTTATTACCGCTCTCTGATAGATCGGTCTGAAGCTCAAATCCACCTGAAAGCTTTTCAAAAAGTCTCGAAATTCTCCTTCAAATCGCTTGGCTTCCCTTTCATCTTTTCATTCTCATTAGCCGATTCTTCGGCAACTTCGGCAACTTTAAACCGATTTTAGAGTTAATTAAATCTGGTTTTATTACCGCTCTCTGATAGATCGGTCTGAGCTCAAATCCACCTGAAAGCTTTTCAAAAAGTCTCGGAATTCTCCCTTCAAATCGCTTGGCTTCCCTTTCATCTTTTCATTCTCATTAGCCGATTCTTCGGCAACTTCAGCGCAGCTTTAAACCGATTTTAGAGTTGAATTAAATCTGGTTTTATTACCGCTCCTCTGATAGATCGGTCTGAAGCTCAAATCCACCTGAGCTTTTCAAAAGTCTCCGAATTCTCCTTCAAATCGCTTGGCTTCCCTTTCATCTTTTCATTCTCATTAGCCGATTCTTCGGCAACCTAGAACAACTTTAAACCGATTTTAGAGTTAATTAAATCTGGTTTTATTACCGCTCTCTGATAGATCGGTCTGAAGCTCAAATCCACCTGAAAGCTTTTCCAAAAGTCTCGGAATTCTCTACTTCAAATCGCTTGGCTTCCCTTTCATCTTTTCATTCTCATTAGCCGATTCTTCGGCAACTTCGGCAGCTTTAAACCGATTTTAGAGTTAATTAAATCTGGTTTTATTACCGCATCTCTGATAGATCGGTCTGACGCTCAAATCCACCTGCAAGCTTTTCAAAAGTCTCGGAATTCTCCTTGCAAATCGCTTGGCTTCCCTTTCCATCTTTTCATTCTCATTAGCCGATTCTTCAGCAACTTCGGCAACTTTAAACCGATTTTAGAGTTAATTAGAATCTGGTTTTATTACCGCTCTCTGATAGATCGGTCTGAAGCTCAAAATCCACCTGAAAGCTTTTCAAAAGTCTCGGAATTCTCCTTCAAATCGCTCTAATCCACCTGAGCAAACTGCTTTGAGAGCAAGATTCGTCTATTTGCGAACCTTTCGGCTCTGGTTCACAATAGCTGATCATTTGATATTGTTGAGAGAGTGAATGGAGAAGAGACGAGAAGCTTCTGTAACATTTGATGGATTTGGTCATGTCCAGCAAAGCCAAGACTTTCCAAATCTTCCAAGATCAAAGATCTTTCTATTCTTGAATCTATCAACTTGAGAGTTTCCTTTAGGATTCAGTTTCGATTTTGTTCGCATTTAAACTCGCTTTTAGGTAATGATGGACCTACTAAAAGTTTCATAAAAATTTGCCAAGTATTACGTTATAATTTAACATCTAAACAGGGCTTGTTTGTTCCACTTTTGGCCATGGTCTGGTCTGTGCAAACTTTTCCGAGCTGTTACAACAATTTCTTCATTTGAGCACTAATAGTTGAAAAAGTTTTGTAGTCGGTGGGTACTTTTTGGATAGTTTTTCCTTGAATTGTTTCTAAGAGAGCCAATTTCTTCTAGAATGCAACAAATTGAGCTAATTAGAAGTGTTCCTAATAAACAAGAAGCTTATTTCTTCACAGAATCTAAACTTTAGGCGACTTGTTTAAGCTTGCTAGAATTTCTTTTTTGTATAAAAATCCATTTTCTTTTTGGTTTCAAGTATGAGGGTGAGTGCTAATTCTTGATAACACTTTTTGTTTTTTGTCTTATCAAAGAGCAAAGCATAGCTTTTTATTAATTTTTAATATGATAATCAGACACGCATTGCCTCGCATTGGGCCAAGTTTCATCCCGATCTATTGGCTGAGCTTCAAGCAGGAGGCTTTTGTTTGAAACCAGTCGATTTGGACTCTTTGATCTTCTGTGAACCAGATTTTTCTGCGACTCCTAAACATTTGCAGCCAAAAGTTAGTAGATACTTTGCAGAAGATAATTTGAATAAAAACATGTACAGGGTGCGGCAAAAGTTCTGACACTTTTTTTCAAACGACTGTATGATGGTCCGCCAACATTTTCCGAATCCGTTATGGTGTGGGCCGGCATCTGTGCCACAGGAAAGACACCTCTTGTGTTCATCGATCGAAATGTGAAAGTCAACGCTAAGATCTACCAGCAAAAGGTGTTAAAGGATGTCTTAGAGCCCTGGGCAGCGAATCATTTCGGACAAACTGGATTTCACCATTGTGCAATATCCATTCTTTGGCTACTACTTATCGACTGTGGCATTGCAACTGAACTCAAATGCTTCCACATGTATTTACACGCTTGGACTGAGGTTCTGCTACATTTTCTCGGTTTTAACTTTCATACCTTGCTTAGTTATTTAAACATGGTCTTCCTGAAAAAGAAAAGTACAACTCAACTCAACTCAACTTCTCAATCCGTCATGAGTATAACGGTCACCAAGACGAAGAGCTCTCACTCGACACCCAAAATCTGATTTCATTTGTCGTTTTCGTGAAAAACATCTTCCAATACAATCTATTCAAGAAAATACAAGAATTGAACATAACACTCGAGATTTGCCGTTTTCGATTTGTCGTTTTTCAGCTGCAGAAGGCGGCTCCACTCATGCAGGAACCACCATTCAAATAGCCTTTTGCGAAACAACAAGTGGCGACGTTCTAAAAATGGACATTTTTGAAATTAAATGAGAAACTTGTGTACATTAATGTTAATGTTTCCAAGTCAAACCCGGATCCCACCTTCTTATAATCAATCAGTAATTGCAGTAACGAGTCCGAGTTTTTCAAATTCACAATTGAACTAACCGGGCAAGATGAGTCGCATAACGGGACGGGATCAGCGTTGACCATGGAAACAGAGGCTAAAATCATTGATTTCTTTTAAATTTTGAAGCTAGACGGGCTATCTTTCTAACAAAAACTTTGAGCAATATACTACAGTTTCTTATAGACACCTTAAAAGCATTTTTTTAGTGAACCACAATCGAACCTTGCCTGTTTGAGCATTTATTTCTAACAGTAGGTACCTTTTAGAAGGGGCAGTTCTGAAAAGGCCACTCTTTAGAGCTTTAGCTTAGTAAGGTTTTATTGTATTTACACTTGAACGCACCAAAGGCGAGAAGAACGGCGAAGAGAAGAGCAAGGCAAGAGAGAGAAGACTCATTGTTTCGGTTTGAAGTTGGGAACTGGTGCCAGATGGAAGTCTTTAGACCTAAATCTAAAAAAACGAAAACAATTCAGTGTATCCAGAAAGCGTTAGCATCAGTTTCTCTTAGGTAAAATTTTGTGGTAGAGGACTACTCATCCCGGAATCTACTTTCTCTTTTCTTCGAGTCTTTGACTTTTCTTCTGACTTTTGACTTTATTTGGTTTGCTAAGCCAAGCGAAGCTAAGCGCGACACGGAGTCTCCTCTTTTTCAAACCTCCTGTAAAACTGAGATTCTCAGCCAGCTTTTATATTTCCCATTGTGTTTTGCGACTCAATAATCGAAAATTGCGTTGAAATGTCGAGTATTGAATTATTTCCCATGTGATTAAGGCAAATTGATCGGATGATTTTTTGAAATACAGCTTCTCTGTAAACAGTCTCGACTTTTTCACAACCAGAAAAATGCCCGGTTAATTGGCAGGTTTAAGACAGGCTTTGCTTCGAAGTGGTGAACATTTTAAGCCATTTTAAAGCCATTTTAAGCTATCTTTCCCAAGCTACAGTGCTTGATCGGGTTTTTAAAAACCATGTTTCAAGAACCACGGAATTAAGCACTTCCTTCGCTCGACTGAATAGATAAAAGATAGAAGAAAAAAACGTTTGATAATTCGGTTGCAGCTTTCTTCTAAGCTTCATTTTGAGACCATAATTCATTGTGAGAAATCTAGTGGATTTCACGATCAAAAATCATGTTTCAAAGTAGTAAAGGTGTAAGCGATTTGCGAAATTTTAATACGAGGTACGTTTAGATGTGCTTTAACTTTGAATCTACACGAAGGGTTTAGCTCAAACTGAATGCTTTTTTGCACCTTTTCA